ATGAAATAGACAGGGGAGAGGGTTATACATGAAATGTCTTGAAATAACTCTTAGGGGTAGCGAGACAGACAAGTGCTTAACCCAGCACAGAAATCCAATTTGAGCTGGGACCTATGGTCTTGCTCTACTGAGCTGCAGAAGATTGGAAGGAAATTTAAAAAAAAAAAAAAATCTAACTTGAGGAAGGTCTATTTCTTTTTTAAAAAAATTCACCCCCCAAAATAATCTTTGAAACAGGATGGGTGTTGTGTCGTTTCTCACTTTGGAGCTGGTTGGTTGTAATCCTCTGGAACCCAGAAGAGAGTAAGTGTTATCCCTCTGCAAGTTTCCTTAACATATTCATTCCCACCCACAAGAGCTTGGGAAGTTCATAGCAATAAAGCAGATATGGAGGAAAATGGTGTATTCTAGGCAGAATTTTCAGAAAAAACTCAGGACTCACAATTTGGCCAGATTTTCAGAAGAGCTCAATACATCGAGTGGCTCTTGAAAACCTGGCCCCCCCATTGCGTCTGCTGAGCACTTGATAAACTAGCTTCATGCATCTGCAGAAAACAGCTCCGAAGCCCACTGAAGTCATTGGAAAGACTTCGATTGACTTTGGATCAGACTCGAATAGGCAGATGGTGGGAAAAGCACAAGTAACTGCCTACCCGCAGTGTGAGGGGTGCCATTTACAATTTGTGGTTAACACAAACCATTCATAATTCATTTTAATTTCTAATTTTCTTCCAAACTAAATATGATCAAAGTCAGTAAATTGTATCAACCTGTGACACAAAAATATTTTCTTTTCTCCCCGCCCATCTCTGAGATTTTTTCTTCTTCCGACACCTGTTCCATTAAGAGAGCTCTGTTGTCCTAGGAAACGATGGTGGTAATCCTGCTACCACTGACTTCAATGGAAATGAGGCGAGATCTTGTGTTTGAGACATAGAAAATGTACTCGTTACTGCCTCAAACACCAGGCTGGCAACAGCGGAGGTTGGGAGCTGGGTTTGGTAGCATCAGGGTGCATTAACAATGTGGACAGGGATGCGTGTAATGCCTGCTACAGAGCCTTTATAGAGGGGTTTAGTCCGTAGCATGGCGTGAAACCCTAAACCTCTTTAGGTTTCTACACTGGGAAGCAACGGGCATTTTTAAACACAGCTGCTAGCATCATTTCAGCTGGAGCGTGGCAAAGGCCAAGCTCACACGTATAGACCCGAATCAGGGCTAACTTCCTCTTGTATTTTTACCTTGATCGGAGAGACTCATTTTCCCAAGGAACAATTCAAACCCTGACTGCTGCAAAGTGAAAAATGAAGGATGAAGCTGGTGCTACATTTTGGGGTTGGCTGGGATTGTCAAAGGAGCACAAGGGAATTAGATGCCCAAATCGCAAAGCACTTTGCAAAGGCGGGTAAGTATTATTATCCCCCATATTCCAGAGCTGCGACTCCACTGACCACTCCAAGCAAATTCCTTTCCCCCTGAATCCTTAATCCAGGGCTTGCTCACTAACAATACATCAATTACCCTATTGTGTCTCCACAAAGCACCTGGCTCAGCAGGAAGCTCACCCTGTGGTAGCATTTCTCATCACGCCGTCCTTACTGAAGTTACAGGCCCCTCTTGTCTGTGCCACACTGACAGCAGTTTTCAGGAGAGCTGGGGGTACAATCCAAACCACCTTCAGGAATGCTCTTGAAATTAATTTGCTTTCACACTAGAGCTTGATTTGTAACAGGACATCCATCTAGCTAACAGTTGGGATTTTCACTCCTCACACGGCCCAGTTCTACTCTCGCTTACAACCTCGGAAATCTGGAGCGAGTTACTCCAGATTTGCACTGGTGTAACTGAGACTGGAATCTGGCACAACGTATTCATGCTCAAAACAAGCACAACTGGAATTCGATCACACCCTTTTTTTTTTTTTTTTTAAATAAGTAACTGCACTGGGATTTTTTTTAAATTGAAATAGACACAGTTTAACGCCATTTTCAAGTCAGAGACGGACGTGGTCTCTGATGCAGAGTACAGATGCCTTTAGCTGGGTCAGCCATTTATTACAGCTCTTATATAAAGGATTGATTCAACTAGACACTGAACACCTGCTGCTCACTCATGGTGGGTTCTCTCAGGATCAGCTCCGAGCTGCAGGGAGGAGGGGAAGGGGTTGACAGAGGAAGGAATTTGGGGCTAAAGGTCTGGACCTTTCAAAGTCTCGGGATCATTCATCCCTTCCCAACAACCAGGGCAATATTCTGACTCCACCGAAGTGGGCAAAACTCCCATTGACTTCAGTGGGGCCAAGATTTCACCCTCGGTCTTTGTTATTTGCCTTTTCAGCTGTGGGAAATGCCGGTGACACTGAATTAGCGTTAGGTACAATGATTTGGTATTCATTGTAATATCCCTGGTACGGATTATAAAAAATATTTGGCATTGGTATGAAGGCCTGGGGATTTCTATAGGATTCCCAGGGTAAATTAGCAGCCCGAGCATCTCAGCCTGAGTGGAATTTTCAAGCGTTACCAAAAAGGGCCCTGAGGCCTGATCCCACAGTTGTGACTCAGGCAAAACTCTCCCCACTCCCTATCCGCCAGATTGGGCCTATTGACTACAGTGCGATCGGGAACAAACCCACATGTAAACCTCTTCCAAGCTGAGCAAGTCGTCTTACTGCCACGGCCATCGGAGCGAGAGGTTTCTCCTCACACACGATGAAAAGGCTAAAGACACACGTTAGAACGCAGCCAAATCGAGGGCCCGATCCCACAGTCTTTCCCAAGGCCAAATTCCAAAGGATTTCAAGGGGAATTTTGTGCCAACAAGATCAGGCCCATGATCTGCAGCTGGTGTAAATCAGTGGAGCTCTTTTGAAGTCCATGGAGCTGATTCACACCACCAGAGGGGCTGTCCCAGACTAATTCTAACACTAAAAGCCAATCTCCACTTAGCTGGTAAGGGAGAGAAACAAAGGTCTGAGGAAGATGGCAAACAGCAATGCGTGGCAGTGCTAATGGAAAGCCCAGAAGGACTAGCTCCTAGTCCCAGCTGCTGTGTATAAATCCCACTGGACTCAACCCTCAGAAGAATCACAACCTAACAAGTGAATATAGGATAAAGGGCCCAATCCTGCATGAGTTCAAGCACTCTCCCCTCCCAGTGACTTCACTGGGAACTGGGAGCACTCAGCACCTCATGGGAGCACCTCAACACCTTGCAGAATTGGACCCCTGGACCTTGGGGTTGAGAGACTTTAGGGGCCTGATGCTGCCCCGATTGAAATCACTGGAAGTTCTGTAAACTGACTTCAAAAGGAGCAGGAACAGGCCCTAGAAATGTGCAAGTTTCAAGTTCTGATTTAAAAGGACTATGGTTCTGGGCCCAATCCTGCACTCCTTGTGCACCCAAAACTTTCATCGACTTCAGTAGGGGCTTTGGTTGCACAAGGAATACAGAATTGGGCCCTCAAGAAGCATAACTAACCCACCCGAGCCCCCCGCAACATCATGAATTACCAAACTGGACTCCACGACACAGGGTCAAGCCCCGATCCGTGCCCTTCCTTGGGGGTATTTGCAAGCATGTAAGATTCTCTACATTTAAGCTGAATTCCATTTCCCGTCCTGAAGTTTTAAGATTTGGGGCAAACCTCTCTCATCCAGATGGGAAACGGCATTACAAAAAGGTTAGATTGTACGCAATTTATTTTGAGTTGGTTGGAAAATTCCAAATAATACATAACTCTTTGTCTAAATATATAGGGTGAAATGCTGGCCCCAGTGAAGTTTGCAGGAGCTTTGCAGTTGACTTCAATGGGGCCAAGATTTCACGCATGGAATCTATACGGTAAAGAGATCCGGCCCCAATCCTGTGAACACTTAACATGTGTGTAATTTTTTTTCACATGAAATAATTCCACTGAAGTTGATGAGAGTACTCATGTAAGCAAAACCTACACATATGGCCATGCGTTTACAGGATAAGAATCTACATATAGTTAAGAGGATGATATTCTTGTAAGCTAAATATGTTAGCAGACATGTTAAAGTGTAAGGAGTTGTCTAGGTCAACTTTTATAAAGCATGAAAATAAAGTACAGCAAATTCTGTCCTTGAAATATATCACTAAAATCACAACTGAACTATCATTATATATGGAAGATGTGGAAATTATGTCTGTAACAAATTAATAGTATTATAAATATTTATAAGGCACCTATCGAATATGAAATTTATGTTTATTATCATTATTAATTATTATTATTATTAGCTACGATTACCATAGGAAATAGGTATATGTATAACATATGCATTCATTTGTAAATGCTTGTATAATATTTCAATGGGTTTAAAAGAAATAGTCACTGTATTTGTCAGGTGTGTGTATATGTAAAAGCAGTACAATATGTGTAATTAACAGAAATACAATGTTTGTAGGTAAGGTTACCCTAAGATCATTTTCTTTCCAGTAGGAACATTTCCTTTCATTATTTCCCCCAAACTATTACATTTTTCTGATACTCCAATTAATCAATGCACTTTTGGTTAAATATCCCTCCCCTACCCTTTCTTATCTACATCCAAAGAATATGAAAATTGATCAGAAAATCTGCATACCAAAAATGTGCAAGTGATACAAAATTAAACTGCTTCTAATGGGGGGGGTTGTTTTGTTTTTTCTTTACCTTTTGGGGGGCGGGAAGGACGGGGGGGGTGTGTGGAAATATTTTAATGATTTCAAAGCATATCTCCTGAAGTCTTCCTCATCTGTAACTGATTTCTGTTTGTGGCAATTTCTCATCCTTCAAGCCATGAATCACTTTGGGGAAAGAAGGGGTGGGGAGAAGAAGCAAAAATCTGGTCTTGATAAATTGGGAAGAAAATGCAGGTTTATTTTTTATTTAATTCAGAGAAGAAGAAGAAAAGTTTTGAAATTGCAACAACGTCTAGCAGTTCACAACTTTATGTGGACGAAAAGTGCTTTTGGAGGGGGTGGTTACTTACCATGAAGTAGATTGAAGGAAAATCCCATAAGGTCCTTGGCTAGAAACTCTGAGGAAAGCCAGCAGATCGATACAGATCACTCTCCGAGGACAGAAATTTCAGATTGCCCCAGCAAATCAGCTACTAAAAAGAACTGGGATCTTCCCTCAATCGCCACAGAAAAGGGGGGGGGAAAAACAAGGAGCAAGCCGAGCTCAACACCTCAGATCTGTATCCTCTCCAAATAGGGAAATCAAGGGGGAGAAAAAATATCTGCCCCCTCTAGAAGTTTATAACATCCTCATCCCCAACAGCAACAGCCTCCTGGACTGCAGGGAATCCAGAGGGACTGAGAAGGGCCAAATCCTCGCAAACCCAGAAGTGCAGAAACTTCCTCCACCACCAGCCAACAGGTAGGAAAGGAGCAAAAAAGAATTATGAATAATAACAAGCGGCTGAGAGCCTGGGTGAGATCCTCAGTCAGGCAACAGAATCCAAAAGGTGCAGAAGGTCCAAGCCCATCCAAACTGAATTTCAAAAAGGGGAGGGGAGGGGGCGAAAGGGGAAAAAAAAAAAAAAAAAAAAAAAAATCAGAGGAGTCCCAGTTCAATAGCGGGAAAGGCAAGGGCTGGGCTGGAAAGGCTGCAGAACCCCTCCAGCCAAAACCCAAACCCCAGTAGAGAAAAGTGATGGGGCTTGGGAAGCTCAGCCTGGGACTGGAAGGATCCAGCCCCTCCAAAGCATCTTCTCCCAAAGACTCCCGGAGAAATGCCAAAAAGGCCAGGAAGCCCCCAGCAAATGGCAAACTCCACTCTAGTGCAGAGAGCTCTCTATCCCCTCCTGGCTAGGCTCAGAATGGAGACAGCTGCACTGCACAGGAAAATCACAATCAGTCTGTCTCTCTCTCTCTCACACACACACACAAGCAGAGCAATTCCAGGCTGCCTTCAGTAAGGAAAGGGGCTTGACTCTGAGAGGATCTGATTATATTGTACTAGACAGGAATGAGCAAGCAGGGACAGGAAAGATTTAAAGTGCCCTCAGCCCAATTTCTTAGAGGTTTACGCTTCTCTCTCGCTCGCTCCTCTGCAGCTCACCCTGGAGAGGGGCCAGCTATAGCTAAGCTACAGGGCCAGAGATCATCTGAACACTCCAAAAAACACTGAGAGGGTGCGTTGGTGGTGGTGGTTTTAATTTGACCTCCAACTATTTGTTTTTAATTTGTAGCGATCCCCAGCCACCGCCTCTGTCCACCCCCGGCCCCCCTTTTCCGAACCTGCTCTTCCCTGACCTCCAGCCGGAGATTGCTAACGCCGATCCAGTCCTTTATTCATGTTCCTCTCCCTAGCCACCACTCAGACTCGCTAGCTCCAGCAAGGAGAAGAGACCCCTCTAAGGAGGAGGGTGGTGTAGATAACTGACGGGCCCAGTTTTTCAATGTGTCCGGGGTGTTAGGGATCCAGGCGACTTGATCCAGTGGTTAATTAGTAAGGATTTAAAAATAAAAGTTTGGAAGGAGTATAAACCGCCCTGCTTTGAGGCAGCATAAACCATCCTCTCTACCTGGTGGGGGTGAGGAAGAAACTTCCCTTATAGAGGTAGGTCATTTCATAGCTGCCTATTCCACCTCCCTTGGAGGCATCTGGTGTTGGCCACTGTCAGAGACAGGATATTGGACTAGATGGACTGCTGACCTGATCCACTATGGCAATTCCTACGGTCCTAATTCTCTGGGAGCATCATAAGGGATCCCTGCCAATGAGATCGTGAGAGCCTCCTCATGGACCTCTTTGCACTTGGCACCATTTTATGGTTAGCTGAGGAGATGGCCTTGGCTTCTTACGGTACAATCAAGAGTAGGATCTGGTATGTCCTTTCTCTGTGCACTGTGTCTTGCCAATGCAGGTGGATAGACTCCGGCCTGGGCTCCACCTAAAACTTAGGTCGACCTCACTACATTGCTCACACCCTAAGACAGAGGTGGCCAACCTGTGGCTCCGGAGCCACATGCGGCTCTTCAGAAGTTAATATGCGGCTCCTTGTATTGGCACCGACTCCAGGGCTGGAGCTACAGGCGCCAACTTTCCAATGTGCCGGGGGGTGCTCACTGCTCAACCCCTGGCTCTGCCACAGGCCCTGCCCCCTCTCCACCCCTTCCCGCCCCATCCCCTGAGCCTGCCGTGCCCTCGCTCCTCCCCCTCCCCCCCAGAGCCTCCTGCACGCCACGAAACAGCTGATCGGGGAGGGAAGGGGAGGTGCTGATCGGCAGGGCTACCGGTGGGTGGGAGGCCCTAGGAGCGGGTGGGGGGGCTGATGGGGGGCTGCTGACGTATTACTGTGGCTCTTTGGCAATGTACATTGGTAAATTCTGGCTCCTTCTCAGGCTCAAGTTGGCCACCCTTGCCCTAAGAGACGTAGTTAAGCTGACCTAAGCCCCGGTGTAGACACTGCTAGGTCGACAAAAGAATTCTTCTGGTGACTAGTCACCACCTCTCGGGGGGGTGGATTTATTACAGTGACGGAAAACCCCCTCCCGTCACTACAGCAGGTGTCTACACAACAGTGCTACAGCGGCGTAGCTGCAGCTGAGCTGCTCCAGCACTTGTAGTATAGACAGACCCTCAGTGATCTGAAAAGGTGTTTTCTCTGGCTAATGTCTAGGATTCCCTTCATTTAGGTAACACCCACATGATTTAATGACAATACTTTGCCTTTGTAAGGCACCTTTCCCTGGGGGATCTGCAAATGCTTTGCACACATCAATTAATGAAGTCTGACACACTGGGGGCTCTTGTTATCATTATTCTTATCTTTTATAGGGAGAAAAGGAGGTACACAGAGGCTAAGTGACTTGCCTAAAATAACCCAGCAAGTAGGTAGCAGAGATGGTAATAGAAGTCAGTCACTGCAGCTGTACCCGCTGGGAAATAAGAAGCATCTTCCTGTTTTTGCCTACACACAGCTTTGATGGACTTGGTCTGACAATCAGTTTTCAATGCTAGTTTTTAGATGTCAATAAATTTTACTGAGACTTTGCAACCTATTTAGGGTTGCCAATTGTGCCTGGATGAATTCCTGGAGGTTTCCTCACATGACAATCCGGGAGGGTTGGCAACCTAAACCTAGTAAGAGTAGTCGTTCTATGGTCTTAATGTTCTCTTATCTTTGTGCTTACACCATGCCCATCACTGTGGTACCTGATTGGTGGTAGGCATGTAGGATCATGGTTAGCTGTACAGATGTATTAGGAACTCTACATGGAAAATTTTGGTTGCGATGAAGCCTGTTGCTGGGTTGCTGCCCATTCATGGTCTTAGCTTTGTTTTATCATTAACCCTGTAACCGGAGTTCAGACCTGAGGTTAACACAGGGGAAAGGGAGGCAGGAGTTCTGGATGCCGTTGCCAGCTCTGCTAGTGCTATCTACTTGCTCGGTTATTTTAGGCAAGTCACTTACGCGCCCTATACACCTCCTCCAAATGCACCCAAACGACATGGAGTTGTTTTTAGTTTGCTCTGTTGGATTATGAAGCATTAAAATAGTTCACTCTGTTGTTTGCAGTGTTTGGAAAGCAGGGGGGTAGCACCCAGCTGGGACAAGAGTGCTAGCCGTTCAAATAAAAGTAACATGAAGAATTTCAAGAACGACAGATCGAGATACCTATAGTCAATGCTAGAAGAGATTGTCACAAAAATGCTGCTGATAAAAAGAACTGATTTAGTAGCCAAAGGGAATACAGTAAATTTGGGGTAAGGCATTCAGCATAGTGCCACATCAACGTACAATGTTGGCTAGATCCCAAATTGATAAGAATACCATAGCACTGATGTAAAATTATCTGATGGAAAGATTATGGAGAGGCATTAATAGTTAGAACCTCAAATAGAAGGACTGTAGTACCTGGGGTCCCAATAGGGCACCATACTGTGACCCATGCAATTTAATATTTTCAGGATGAAGTCTTATAGGGGAGATTTTCGAAAGCTCCCAAGTGCGCTAAATCCTTTAGAGGCTTTTGAAAATCTCCTTCTAAATCAGCACTGACCAAACACTAACATGCCAGCATAACCAAATTCAGTGGGGTAGCAAATGCACAAAACAACAGCACTTACATTGCAAAATGCTCTGAAAAAATTGAAACTGCAGGCAACATGATGAGATTTAATACTACTTCAAAGATACTAAAAAACTTTGATTAAAACAATTAAGGCTCCTAAAGGCAAATAATACCCAACTCAGTACCATGAAAACCAGAGTAAAGTCATCCAACTACAGACCTCATCTCCTCACACACACCCTCTCCCAAACACAACTCATCCATACTGCAAGCAAATCAACAGTTACCAACTGCTGTCACCACAGTCACACCCTGACAACCTTAACTCTGCCCCTCTGTGGACAGAGTCTGTATTTACTAGTCTGTGTGATTTTGGCCTGGGCATTATTTGCACTTTGGAACTTCACCTGTTTTTAAGGAGGTTTTTAATTTTCGTACTATGATACATGTGAACTATATTGTGTTATTGGCAAGGTGTGTGGATGTGTTGTGTGGTTTGCAGAGTAATTGTAGCTGTTAGAAAAGGGAGAAGTACAGCAAATTTGTTGACTTGTGCACGGCTTGCCACAGAGGATGGAGTTAAGGCTGTCTGGGTCAAAAAAAACAAAACAAAACTACTAGAGGCTTTGCATGGGAGCACAAGATGGCTGCCTGCCTTAGCTCATGGAACATGCCTCAATCAACGTTTTCCCTTCCTCTCGGCAGTTCAGTACTGAAGCCGGAAACGGGAGATAGTCACATGAGGCCTGATCCAGCGTCTGTGAAAGGCAGCAGGAGTCTGCCCTGATTTTAGCCAGACATTGGATCCGACCCATTGACTTGAATAGTATTAATAAATGTGCCTCCTTCAACTTGGCAGCCCTTCACTCACCACTTCCCCATTCCCCTTATGTTCATGTGGCCTAAATACTCCATTGACAGACCATGCCGATTATTTTGAACGCTGAACAGCAAAATACACTGATTCCTAAGACACAGCAGTCGATTCTCACACCCCCACGTGAGATCACATTCGTTAGGCCTATTGTTTTCCTCCCTAGACACTCCTGGTTCATGCAGGCTTGTTCAAATGTGTACATTTCCCCGCACATCCTATCTAGTTAGCCCTTTGCACTGCTGCAGGGCCACTGCCTTGTAAAACGCACGCTCAGGCATTACAGCCGGGCAATGAACACATGCTTATATCCCTCTAGAAGCTTCACTCTCTTACCCACTGCTGCTGTTCCAGGCCTGCTTCATGCACCCGCAGTGCCAGGGGCTCCCAGCTTGTCAGGACAGGACTACGAGCTGTGCGCGTGAGAATTAGAAGAGTTTATTAAAAGTTAAAAATAAAATTGTTTCTTTTATTTCTGTTTTAATGCCGATTCTACGGCTCCCTGCCCATGGTTGGGACTCTGGAAAACACCTGCTGGGAAAGGCAGCTGGGAAGAGGGAGAATCCAGGGCAGCAGGGCGTGGCAAGGAGAATTGTTCTCTTAGATGTCTCAGCAGCT